CACGGAAGGAACGCACGCACGGGTACAAAGAAGGGGACGCAAGCACAAGGTCAATCATGCTGCCTCCCCCCCGGCTGGACTCGTATGTGAGCCTGCCCTCAGTGTCACCCGGTGCCCGCCCATTGAGAATGACAACCTCTGAAACCCGGCACAACTCGAGCAGTTTACGTCCAAACGCATTATGCTCCTGATCTAGCGACCGGCGGGGCACACCCAGCAGTGCTCTGTATGCCTCGCCGTCCACAAAAGGGCACCCGACCTCCTCTCCTAAATCGTCAAGATAGTCTAGGTCCGGGATGTCGGAGAGGTGGTTGGGCAGCCCCCCCACGCGCGCGTTCCAATCCCCCAGAAGCAGGATCCTCTCACCCGACTGGCGGAGGGCGCCCACGACGGTGGCCAGATGATCAAACACTTCGTCCGCTGCTTGTCCGTCAGACTCGTGTGCCCTCAGAGACGCGTGGTGTACTACCGACGCCCTGGGGGAGACGTAGCATGCACCCACCAGGGTGCTATCCTGACCTGTTTGCTTGCCGCCCAAACGCAACCAAATAGACTCGCAGCCCGCAATATCCGTGTCAACCCTCAACAAAGTGACATCCCGGGCAATCGCGTCCCGGATATAAACAGACACACCCCCGTGGAGCCGGCCCGTCTGGGGCCCGGCTCCGCCTCTACAGGCTCGCTCAGCTACATGCAGTTGAAACCCTGGCAGGGCCAGGGCCTTGGCCGGCTTCCCGGCCTGCGCCGAACAGTGTGTTTCCGTAAATACCGTAGTGCTACTTATAGTTCGTGATCGCTTTGTTCGGGGAGGGGTCAAAAAACTTTCTGAAATTTGTACGTGCTTTTTGAATTTCGGGGAAGGCCGGACCAGATTTTGCGGGCATGATACAAATTTCGGGGCCCCTTCCAAAGTTTCGGGGCTTTTCAAACTGCAACTTCCAGTCAGTCTCCATCCACCGGGAACCCTTAGGCTCATGGTCTCTCACCATTTTCGCACTTTGGAAACGCCCTAGCAAATTCTGGACCGATCGCACAGTTCAGTACCAGTGGCAACGACCTAATAACCAGCCGGCCGGGCCAATACAGTGTTTGGGTGGTTGCTACTGAAACGTGTCTTCATGTGGCTAAAACCCCGACGTAAAAGGCATTACCTCGCCTCGCCGGCTGCCGTAGCATTGACCGCATTGCGCTCGCGCCTAGCAACCTCCTCGTGCTCCATTCGCTCACGCTGGGCCTCGACAACAGCATCATCAAGCCTAACTGGTGCAAATCCAGCTCGGTCGCTCACCGGAGCGTTTGGTGCTAGCGGTTTCATCCCGCATTGAAGCAGGGTTGCCTGTCTTGCACGTTTTCCAGCGTTGTTCATGTCCTACGTTTATGACTATATTTTATGTATTTAAGAGCTGATTTCCGCCTTGAAATCCTAGTTTTTGCGAAGTTTGATCGACCGGCTTCGGAGGGTACGATATTTCGGGGCTGCGGTCCCTTGGGATACTTTAGAATTTGTACGTGCTACATATTCGTGGTGCCTCCCGAATTATTGTAGCACGAACTATAAGTAGCACTACGGTACTAGCACATCGTGGTCCTGGGCAATGCGGAGGAAAGATGGGTCGGTGAGCTTAGCTACCGACAAACCCCACACGTTCCAAAGCAAGACCCTGATGTCTTTAGCCTCACGACTCATAGCACTCTAGGCGGCGCTCCCCTCGCCAGCACCCTCTGTGGTCACGCGTCCATCGCTTGTGCCCGCCGCAGCCCCGTTCCCGGCCGGGGGCTGGGGCGGGGGGGGCGGAACGTCGGACACGTCGTACTTGGAGACCATGTAGTACATGCCGTCGGTGCGCTGGTACTCAATGTACGGGCCCAGCCACTTGGGTTTGCGGCCCTCGTCACGCAGCCGCAGGAACTGCGCGTTCCGAGCCTGCTTGAGCTGACGACCTGCCGGGGTGAGGTCATCCCGGAAGGTGATGCCGATGGCCTTAAGGGCCTGGCTGTGTCGGAAAAGCATACCACGGACACGGGGGGTGACGCCGATGGTGATGTTGTATGTTGGGGCCGCCTGGTTGGGTCGTGGCTTCTCAGTGCGTACTTCGACGCTGAGGAAGGAGGCCTGGAGGCTTCCTCCACTGGCATCGGAGACGACTTGGGTGATGGCTTCCGCTGCTTGCTTAGCGGTCGCGAGAGCCGGGACGCCAAACGCGATCAGGGAGCCGGAATCGTAGTAGGCAGATTTGCCGGTCAAGTTCCTACGCTGTTTAGACCCGGTGCGGTCGGTCGCAAACGTAGGGGCCCCCGCGAGCTGAGACTGCACAGTTTCGATGATGAACTGCGCGGCCCGAACTTCGAACTGCTTCATTTCGGTCTCCACCTTTTTGGTAATTATTTCCGGAATATTCTTTTCCAGCGAGTCAACACGAGCAGCCAGCGCATCTGTCTTGCTATGCAAGGAGTCGAAGGACGCCTTGGTCTGTGTAGCATGGGTCTGAAGCAGCTTGTAAATCTCATCTAAAGATGGTTCTTTCTGAGTGGATCGCGTCATGGAGTCGCCTGCTGCCGCCCCCTCAAGGGCAGCGGCCGAAGGCGTAGGGTACTCCTTGCCGGACCTCAGAACCCGCTTAGACGGGCTTTGTGGGCTAATGCCAGCTGTTCTACAGATTCTGGATCGCTGGCAAAGCCAATGCGAGGGGCTTAGCTGTGATGTTGCCAGGGTGGTGTGGTAGGCGTGAACTATTGTAAACTATTGCCCTGCACCGTGGGCAGCAGCAAGGTATGGGGCCTATATCAGCATGCACACTACGCCAACCTTGCACTTTGCACACGTAAACCGGGCTGATAAGCAAGGATCCGGCGGCCACCAAGGACTCTCTGCGCTTTCTTCAGCCTACTTCCGCCTGAGGGAGGCTTGCAGAACGCGCAATCACTGCTAGAAATACGTGCTATTGATTGGCTGATCGGCACACCTCAACAACTTACTGCGTAACTTCGGAAGGCCTTCCTCTGCGCGTTTGTTTGGATGTCGTTATTGGCTGGCGTGCGGTGCAGCAGGGCGGTGTGCGTGCGGTGATGAAGGCTGAGAGCGCACACCGCAGCAAGGAGGGCTCAGCGTCTGAAAACATTTTTATCGTCTATAGATTGCAACCTGGCGATGTAATAGAATACAATTGATAGACGACAAAAAAAGTTACAGATGCACCCCGCCCTTTCTGGATGTGCCAGAAAAAACATAGCACTTAGCTGCGGGGAGCCACAACGGCTGAGTCGGCCTTGTGTTGTGTTTCCGTCGTTGTCCATATCCTTGTCAACCAAATCACATGCATGCATAATTGGAGAGCAAGTGCAAACGGCGCTGACTTCTGCGTCTTCTGCTTTCTCTATCTACTGGGACGCATGATGGAAGGCTAAAAGCATCGATGCATTTTCTATATGTATTCCTGAGATCATGCATAATGGACTGATGAGGCTAAATATAGCAAGTTGAAGGAATGATAGATGCTGCTGCGCACTCGGATCGTCCAACCCGCCGTGTCATATCAGGACATCACAACTTGAGGCGCTCGAGGCATGCTTTCCACAGCGAGACCTTTACAGTGCTCATTCCTTGAAAAAAACTTCAGCGGCATATAAGGCTCTAGCTAATGGCCATGCATCATCGACGCAACATGAACCAACGAGGCACGCGCCAAGGATCGTACGCCGCCACCAAAGGTCCTGATCGTTTGAGCATATCTTATTCGTCTGGTGGTTAAGGACGCTTACCACAATCAGTAATGAAGCAGAAGACCAGGCAGGTTGGTCATATCGCGACCACTGGGTCGTGACGAGAACTTGACGGCCAGGTCTCTGGGATAAGACGCTTTTCTTGGCAACCAAAGTTTCAGAGACAAAAACGCGGAGCAAATCTGCTTAGTAAATGGCGTCTTTGTAAACCTCTACCGTGTCTGAGCTTGTCTCCATATAGAGCCGCCCTTGGAGAGCTGGTTCCTCACATCCGGGACGTCTTTGCTGGGAGTTCATGGACCGTGACGGTGAACCAAAAAGCATCGGAGCAGCTAGAGCGCAAGGAGATCTAACCTTGGCCACGGTGGGTTGAACGGGGAGGAAACGGCAATCGTTTCCCGAGGCAGCCCAGACGTTGCGCGTGGGCTTATTAATTGCTGAAGGCAGAAAGGTGCATTTAAATGTATGTGTCTCCGCGAGCTACAGGCCCTGGCTAAAGTTAACATCTGCGTTTGCACCCCTGGCGCGCAAAACAAGATTTCATATGAGCGGGTGCTTACGTTAGTCGGTGTGCAATATAAGCCATCCTTCAGCTAGGGAGTCGCTCGTTTTTTTCCTCGCCAGGAGGCACCAGGGGAAACGGTGATGCTCGTTAACTGCCGATCACCCAGCCTTTCTCAATATTAGCACAAATGCTCTTAGGGTGTGTACCCAGTTGATGAGAGAGTTGGATAATGCTACGGCTCCTGTGGTGGCTTTTGCGCTCCTCAAATCAAACGCGACGACGACGGTTCTGATCCTGGATAGAGACATGATTAGGGGCTCAAAGGAGAAGAGTTCAGCCTTCTACTGCAATATCTTAATTTCTGTTCGCGTACTTGTGACCGCTAATCCGAATGCTGCTGCAGGATGGCTGCCAGATGGCGCATGAGCTCGATGAAGCGGCTGCGGGCAGCAGTCCTCCGCTCCAGCAGCAACGAAGCGTTAATATCGGCTTGGAATTTGATCTTAATATTGATGTTGTTGGTGTTGATGTTGCCAGGAATAACAAAATGAATGAAAGTTTTGCGTTGGATTTGAGCAGTCGCAGCAGCCCGCATCTGCAGCAAACAAATCTCCAGCAATCGCCGAACCAGAACCAGATTCATAACCAGATCCCAAACCAGATCCAGAACCAAATCCAGAACCAGGTCCAGGATCATCAAAGACAACAAGATCCGCAAGGTGGTGGCGGTCCCCATGGGAATCGCCAGGACGCTTGGTGGGGGACACCACGCTCCGAAACCCCTATGCACCACCATCTGGGTCCTGGTGTTTCGGAGCCGGGCCCGCACGCACAGGCCATGTACCCCGACCCAGGACAATCCCCAAGCTGGCCGGGTCCCCACCCGGGGGATGCTCTGCGGCCATCCCTGCCGCCGCCGGCAATGGCGCCAACGGCGCCGTCGGAGGGGCCCTTGCCGCCGCCGCCGCCGCTGGCGCTGACGCCGCCGCCGCCGCAGCAGCAGATGCATGGCTGGCAGCTGCTGCCGCTGCCACCGCCGACTTCATTGTACACACCGCCGCCGACGCGAAGTGCCCCTGGACAGCTGCTCTTGAGACCGGGGCCGCCACAGCAACAGCCACAGCCACAACTGCTACAGCCGCCACAGCCGCTACAGCCGTTTCAACAGATGGTGCAACAGCTCGGTCAGTCGCCCTCGGCGTTGGCGTCCCCGCAGCCGCCGCCAACACGGGAACCACCACATCGCCACGTGAGGAGGAAGCAATACCACCAGCACCAGCACCAGCACCAACACCAACACCAGCACCAGCACCAGCACCAGCACCATCCGATCCCGCAAACGCACACATATCAACACACACACCTGCAGGAGCAGCAGCAGGAGCAGCAGCAGCAGCAGGAGCAGCAGCAGCAGCAGGAGCAGCAGCAGCAGCAGATGCTACAGCTGCCTATACGTGGCCCATACGAAGACAGGTCGCCTCAGCAGATTCCGCTAGCGAATCTTTCGTACAATCATGCACGTGCGCGTACGGCAGAGGGGCAACAGGGGCAGCAAATGCAGCCGGGGGCCCCCGGTTCGTCCCGCGTGCCCCCCGTGTCGAGCATGACGTCACCGCCGCCACAGCCGCTGTATCCACAACAGCCCCCCATGCCGTACCCGCTGCCACAGTCGCCGCCACACCTGCAACAGCCGCGGCTACAGCCGCCACCACAGCAGCCGCAGCCGGTACGGCAGCCGCTACAGCAGCAACCGGAAAGGCATCTGGTGGGGGTGAGTGTACCGCACGTTACCGGGTGGGGGGAGGGCCAGCGGAACGGTAATGGCGGCGGGGGCGCCGCCGCTGACGGCGGCGGCGGCGGCGGTTGTGGCGCTGACGGCGCCAAAACAACTGGATTTGTTGGACGCACCGACGCTAGCGGCGCCAGCCGCGGCGTTGGCGGGGGTGGCATTGGCGTTGGCGGGGTTGGGGGCGTTGGCGGCGCAGGAGGAGGATCTTTCATGGCTTCCAGATCAGGTCAGTCCAGGTCTGTCCCGTACGTTGGGCTGAGACCAGGTCTGGACTCTTCCACTTCCACTTCCACTTCCACTGCCACTGCCACTGCCACTGCCACTGCCACTGCCACTGCCACTGCCACTGCCACTGCCACTGCCACTGCCACTGCCACTGCCACTGCCACTGCCACTGCCACTGCCACTGCTGCTACTGCCACTGCCACTGCCACTGCCACTGCCACTGCCACACTGCCACTGCCACACTGCCACTGCCACACTGCCACTGCCACTGCCACTGCCACTGCCACTGCCACTGCCACTGCCACTGCCACTGCCACTGCCACTGCCACTGCTGCCACTGCCACTGCCACTGCCACTGCCACTGCCACTGCCACACTGCCACTGCCACACTGCCACTGCCACACTGCCACTGCCACTGCCACTGCCACTGCCACTGCCACTGCCACTGCCGCTACTGCTACTGCCACTGCCACTGCCACTGCCACTGCCACTGCCACTGCTGCTACTGCTGTTGGTTCTCTAGGTCCGCCGCGAGCGGATACGGTTACTGGTAGCGGTGGTGGCGGCGGCGGAGGGGTTTCGGAACGAGATGTGGCGGCGGCAGCAGCGGCGGCGGAAAGATACAGGCGGGTTTATCTGCGGCGGCGGTGGAGGGGATGTGAGGGTGGCGGGAATGGAGGGGGGTGACAGAGACCGGGGGTATCCAGCGGCGGTACGGGACCTGATCGCCGCGTTTCGGTACGTTGTATTGCTGCTGCCGTACTCGGAATCGGGTTGGATTACGAGTGTGTATGTACGTGTGTATGTATGTGTTGGGGGTATCAAACCCAACCGCATTTCCTCCTTCCCTCATCTTCCCCGTCCTCGGCCGCTTTTTGGACATCGGCCGCTGTTGTTAGATCGGACCGATAATCATTTCATCATGATAACCGTAATAATCGTCATAATCATCAACATCAACATCAGCATCATATCATATCGTAATGATTACATGTTTCTCCCCTCGTCCACGCCTACCTCGTCCATACAACCCAAATCCAGGACGTGGAATCCAGATATACCCCCACCCCCACTCCCACCCTCGCCTTCTCCTCTACTTCGTTCTGATAGTCCTAGGGTTTGGGACCTTTATGAATCCCCCGACACACAGAAACATTTACATTCATACATACATACATACATACATACATACGTGCTCGTCCACACTGTCGTACACTTGCAGGGTCATCATGACCACTCCTGAGGGCCAGGCGGCGTTGAAGCTCGCTTTGCAACGTAAGGCCCAGGAACGAGCTCTTGCGGCGGCGGAGGCGGCGGGGGCGCACCTGCCGTACGACTCGCCGGAACGGTTGATGCTACAGCAGCAGGCGTACGAATCAACGCTGCGGCAGACTCAACGGCAGCAGCTACAGTTGCAGCAGAGGGTGCAGCAACAGATGCAGCAGCAGCAGCAGCAACAGCAACAACAACAACAGCAGCAGCAGCGGCCGCTGGTGCAGCTGCCGCCGCCGCCGCCGTGGCCGATGCAATTCCCTCCCCTACCGTTGCCGCAACCGCAGCAGCAGCAGCAACGTCAGCCTCCGCAGCAGCGCCGTACGGCAGAGACAACGACGGCGGCGGCGGGTTTGGGTGCGATGAGGCAGGAAAGGACCGGAAGCAGCAGCGGCGGCGGCGGCGGCGGCGGTGGCGGTGGCGGTGGCGGCGGCGGTGGCACCGCTGTCGGGAAGATCGCAGCAGCGGTGGCGGCAGCGGCCGCGGCGGCGGCAGCTGCGACAAGGGCTCGTAGCGTACCAGTCCCGTCGGGGGCCCCGGCGGCGGCCCCGTTAGCTGCGCCGCCGCCGCCGGCGCGTCAGCTAGCGGCGGCAGAAGCCGCGGCGGCTGTTCCGTACGGCAGCGGCCGCCCGGAAGGTTCTGCACGGTCCAACGCCATGGCTGGCGGCCTTCGCGCTACAGGCTCCCAACAGGTGACTGTCGTACAGGAAACAGCTTTATGGGACAAGCAAATGCGTATGCATGGGAACCCGTCCCATAATGAATGGTTGCAGCGGGATAGCGGCGGTGGCGGCGGTGGCGGCGGTGGCGGCGGTGGCGGCGGCGGTGGCGGCGGTCCACGGCCCGCGCCCATGGGCGTGGTGACGACAGCAATCAGCGGCGACAACACCTGGCATATTGAGAGGTCCGCATCCGCGACCATGCATGTCCCCGTGACGTACGGCACGCCGTATCACCAGCAAACGCTGCTAATGGCTGAGCGTGAGGAGCAGGAGGCGCGGGGGCAGCGGCAGCAGCAACAGCAACAGCAGCAGCATCAGCAGCTGCATCGCTGCAAATCGGGCTCAGTCGCTGTGTCGTACATAGGTGGCGGCGGCGGCGGCGGCGAAGGCGACGGCGGCCAAGGCGTGCTTCCAGTAGAGGTTGCGTCGAATGCGACCTATGTGGTCGGGTCGCAGGGCCTCACCTCGCCTTTCGGATTAGCGCCTCCAGCCATCCCGGCACCGCATAGGGCCTTCACGGGCGTAGTGCCGTACACATCAGCTCCCTTGGGGCCGCCTCCGTCGGGGGTTGCACCGCCGCCGCCGTTGCTGCGCTGCAGCAGCAGCGGCGTGGCCCCTGGTACCGGCGCACCAGTACACGCTCCCGGCCCGTACGGCAATACGGTTATTATGCAGCACCAGCCGTCGTACGGACTGATGACGCCGCAGCGGCCGCTACAGCGACAGCCGCCGAACCTTGCGGTGACGCCACCGGGGGGCTCTGCGGTACAGGATCGTACGGCACGTGGCCCACGGTCTTCGATGCTCGGCTGGGGCGGCATGGATGGCGAGAGCGGGTCCGGATGGCAGATTGGGACTTTCTGCCGTACAGGCCAGGATGCCGCCAGGCCAGTAGCCGCCGAGGCGTTGAACATCGAGACGCCTGCCGATTGGTCCGGAGGCCCCCGGCTGCCTGCTGCGGCGCCGGCCCTGGCGGCGGCGGCAGCAGCTATGCCCGATGTACGACATGGCAACGGCGGTGATGGAGGCGGCGACATCAATGCTGCCACGGCGGCCGTACATGAAGACATATCGTCAACATGTACGGCAGCGGCAGCGGCAGCAATGGCCTCTCCGAATGACATGGGAGCTGGGATGGAGTCACGCACTGTACGGCAAAAAAGTGGTACGGCGGACGTTGGCCAGGCTAGAGGTGCATGCAGCGACGTGATTGCTTCGGAGGCGCCGCCAATGCCTGTACAACAGCTACAGCAGCAGTACAGAGATGTCATACAGCAGACCCGGAGCCAGGAGACGGTGGCATCTTCGCGGCTCTGTGATATGTCTGCAGCAGTAGCGGAGGCCGGCCCGGCGGCGGTGCCGTACCGGTTCCCAACGACAGCAGCGGTGTCCCCGGTCATGCTACAGCCGCAGCTTTCACCGCAACGATCACTGCAGCTACAGCTACAATCACCCGCAGTAGCCTCCGCTGCCGTACCACTCCAGCAAGATTCCGTACACCCTAGAACCCAACCTCTGGAAGTCTTGCCGGATTTCCAAAATGCTCAGCCGCAGCAACAACTAGAACAGCAGCTACAGCACCAAAGTCAGCTACAGCCACCTGAAGGCTTGGCGGTTCAAGGACTTGAAAGGGTGGAAGCTGCCGCAGCGTCGCCGCTATCTGACGGCCGGGGTCACTCGGCATCGTACCAAGGCGGCGGCGGCGGAGGAGGAGGAGGAGGAGGAGGCGGAGGCTTGCTAGTCGCGTCGCCTGGGCTGCTGCCGTTACGGCCATCGTACGGCAGCGCGCCACCATCGGGCATCCAGTCGCCCTCTCTGTCAGCCGCGTCGTACGATGCAGCGACGCCGCGGGAGCTTATGCGACCCGGACCGCCGCCGCCGCAGCTGCAGTCGTCACCGCCGCAGCAGCAGCAGCTGCAGTCGCCGCCGCAGCAGCAGCAACTGCAGTCGCCGCCGCCGCCGCCGCCACTGCCGATGCCACCGCCGCCGCCGCCGCCGCCGCCGCAGCTGCCGACCTCGCCCGAGTTCGTGGCTGGATCCGAGAATCAACAGCAGCAGCTGTACGGAATGCCCCTGATGCGGTACGACAGTACGGTGTCGCAAGCGGAGATAACGCCCCAGAATCGCGACCACCAGCGGGAGCCGCCGCCGCCGCCGCCGCCTGTACACTACGCTGAGGTCTACAGACAGCACTACGAACAATACCAGCAACAGCAACAGCAACAGCAGGAACAGCAACAGCAACAGCCCACTTCCCCTGCGTTGCTGGTCCCCGTCAGCAGCCCACAATCCCACGGGTCACCTTCTCCCGGAACAGGGCAGGTGAGAAGGGCAAGGGAAAGAGGGGAACAGTAACTGCAATAGGGTTGCCTTCGGGCCCCGGGGAGATGCGTCGCCTTTTGCGGGCCTTTGCCGTATACCACCTACATATTTATTTATGATTTCTAATTGATTATTAATCAATATATTTCATTTAATTAATATTTATATTTATATTAATTATTTATTCGCCATTTCCTGAGGTGTAGCGTCGCTTCCTTTCAAGTCGCTGGTCTCCGGGTCTGTTGGCCTTCTGCTCCGGGTGCTTCTAGGATGTAACATTTGTATTGTCGAATTCATTTGTTGGGGAAATTAAGAGATTTTATTTTAGGGCTATGTTTTTGTATGTGTGTCTGCCGCGGAATTTTCACAGAAGAGTGATTTATATTAATACTGAAACCTATTTAAATGATTGAATTGAAATTTAAGATATTGGGCTCCTGTTACGTCCTTCGAAGCGAGTCTTCCCCCACCGTCATCCATCAACTGCACCAACCCAGATGCCGCTCACGGGCGTCACAGAGGTGACGGCGACGGCGGCGACGGCGGCGACGGCAGCATCCAATCCAAACACTGCAACAAGCAATGGCAGTGGCGGCGGCGACGGCCCGGTGCCGCTCCCAGCGGCGCTGATGCCGACGCCGTACAGGCCACGTAGGCTTTCCTTTGACGGCCTTAGCCTAGAGGGGTCGACCGCTCCACCGCTGCCGCTGCCGCCGGCGCCGTCGAGCTGTACGGTGCATGAGGCATCGGTTCCGTGGCTAGGCCATGCCCTGACGGGGCATCCCGCAACTCCTCCAAAACAACAGCCGCAGCCGCCCCAGCCGCCCCAGCCGCAGCAGCAGCAGCAGCAGCAGCGAGAGCCCTGGCCAGCGCCATGGCAGCCGCAGCCGCCGCATTACCCGTCTCAGCCGTTCCAGCAGTCATGGCAGCAGGCGCAACACCCACAAGCCCGGCCATACCTGCCGCAATCGTACCAGGAATGGGGAACGACCCGTGGGTCATCCCCGCATCTGCCGTCGGAACATGAGCGACCGCAGCAGCGGACGGCGCTGCCGACACCGCAGCCGGGCACGCCGCGTACCGCCCCCCACCCAGCGCAGCCGCATCTGGGGCTGCTGGGGATCCCGCGTCCCCCACCCCACCACCACCAACAACAGGATCAACAACAGGATCAACAACAAAATCAACAACAAAATCAACAACAAAATCAACAACAAAATCAACAACAAAATCAACAGCAACAGCATTTTTTTTACCAACATCAGCTCCTGTCGCCGTCAACACAGCCCCAGGCACTGGCACCTCAAGCTCAGCTGCCGTTGGCGGCAGCGGCGACTCCGCGGGGGCCGCCGCCGCAACGTGCTTTTACGCTATCGGCTGCGGCCACCACTGGCGGCAACGACCCATCGCCCTTCGCCTCGCACGCGGCAATCGCGGCGGCGGCGGCGGCGACGGCGGCGGGTGCGCCACCCGACTCCCCGCGGATTTCATACGGCAGCGCATTACCTGCCTACCGTACCACAAGCGCCACTAGCGCTGCCGCCGCCGGCGGAGGAGTGGTGGCAGCAGCGCTTGCGCCTCCGCCGCCGCTACCGCCGCATTCGCCGCTGTCGAGCGGGTTCGCCGTCCAGGCGTCGGCTCCGGGTTATTGCCGTACATTTGCACCTATGGTCTCGGAGCGCTTACCATCCTCTCAAAACTTGCTTTCCCCGGGACCGACACAGGCGATGTGCCCAAGCCCACTACAACCACTACAACCACTACAACCACTACAACCACTACAACCACTACAACCACCACAACCACCACAACCACCGCAACCACCCCAACCACTAAAACCACTACAACCACCACAACCACCGCAACCACCACAGCCACCGCAACCCGGGGCGGCGGATTTCTCGACGATTCTTCACGCACCACATCCAGTGCCGCCGCCGACGTTCGGATTGGCGCCGCCGCCGCCGCCGCCGCCGCCGCCGTCCCCATCGGCGGTCCGACTTCAGCAGCAATCACCGCCGCCGCCGCCACAGGAGCAGCAGCAGCGGCATCCGCAGCAGTATCTGTCGTACCAGTGCCAACAGGGGATTCAGCAAGTGCCTCCCTCGCCTAAGCAACGGAGGCATCAGCAATCCAAGCAGCACCACCGCGACCAACACGATTTCCTGAGACAACAGCAACATTACCAACACCAACACCAACAGCATTCGGATCAGGTGCAAATCCGCCAAGGAACTGCCGCTGCAGCAACTACGGCTGCACCAGCAGGACCGGCGCCGTACGGAGCGCCTGACACCGTTACGAACCCGTACACACCGCAGTACAGTGTCGTCCAACGCGCGTCGTCCGTACACCAACCGCTTTCGCCGCCACAATACCAGCAGCATCAGCAGCAGGATGTTGGTCCGTCCGTGCAACCTGTTGCGGCGGAGGCAGGCATGGCAGTGGCGGCGGCGGCGGCGGCGGCGGCAGCTCCGCCAGCGGCGCAATCCTCTCCAGGGAAGGAGCCCGAGGCGCCGCTACTTCCCCACCTGCCTTCCGTACAGGACATATGGGCAGCGGCGACGCATCTAGGTACGGAACTGCTCGACCTCCCCGCCGCCGGCGTAGGGGGGGGTGGTGCCGCCATGCTCATAGACAGTGAACCCAGCGGCTCATTGTTGAGCGCGGGAGATTCCCTGCCGGAGGTCGGCCGCGCGGCGGCGGCGGCGGCGGCCGCTGCAGGCGGCGGCGAGGAGGTCACCGGCGGCATGTCACCCTTCCCAAGGCGCACCGGTGGAGCACGCATAAGGCCCATTAAGAGGTACTCAAAATCGGAGGCGCAGGCACGAGAAAAGGAGCGGCAGCGGGCGGCAGCGGCAGCGGCAGCGGCGGAGGCGGCTGCTGCCGCCGCCGCTGCGGCAGCCGCGCCAGAGCAGCAGCACGTCATGGCGAGCCCAAGGCCTCGATCGGACACAGCTCGAGGTAGCGGCGGCGGCTCTGGTGCAGGAAGTGGAACCGGTACGGCAGCAGCAGCGGAACGGTACTTGACAGACGCGGGTGCGCCTGGCAACGGCGGCGGCGCCGCCGCCGCCGCCGCCACCGCGGCCGCTGGCAGGACGAAGACTTTCAGTGCTGCCGCACCGAAAGGAGCCAAGGCCGTCAGCCCCCCCAAGGTTACCGTACGAGTTAGGACGGCGGGTACGGCAGGTACGGCTCCCTCGACGGACGGACCCGCCGTCACAATGGCGGCACCGCCACGGCGGCGACCGCCCGCGAAGCGACCTGCACCGGGGGCCGGTACGACGTCAGTCGGTAGCGCGGCGGTGCCTGAAGGCGATTCGACGCAGCTTCCGCCGCCGCTGCCAGCCAAAAAGGCCAAAGGTCGACCGCGGAAGGCGGCAGCGGAGGCGGCAGCGGCGGAGGCGGGTGCCGTACCAGGCGCCCTGCTGCCCGGGGTTGCGGCCGTCGGGACATCCACAAAGACCAAAAGACCAAAAATGCTACAACAACAGCAGCAACAGCAGCGTGCGCCGCCATCGCAAATGCAAGCATTACAGCTGCTGCCGCCGCCGCTACAGCCGCTACAGCCGCCGCCGCAGCAGCAGCAAAGTGTGCAACGCCAGCGGATGGGTTCTGGGCCCATGATGTCGGAGGGGGTTTCGGAGCAACAGAGGCAGCAGCCGGCAAGTAGCAGCGCCCCGAGGAGGAGGAAAAAGAAAAAGCTGTCGTCGGAATTGCAACAGCTGCCCGGGCTCGATCTGACGACGGCGGCGGCGCCACCGCTTCCACTGACGGTGCTTGGGGCCGCGACGGGTTCGGCGACTGCTGCGCCGTCGTCAACCCCTTTGAAATCGCTCTTGCAGCAGCCTGGCGCGACGGCGGCGGTGGTGGCGCAGATGTCGTACACTGCGCGGCCGGGTGGCAGATCGACACCGGTAGGTTTCTTCTTGGGGTTTCGCGGCCCACCACCAGAGTTTTTCCCGTCCAAGGTTGCCTCGAATAGATTTCAGGCCTAGCCTTGTACGACATAGCTAAAGAATATTGTACGTGTGCTAAATCTGTGTTTGCGTGTGGATCCCGTTTGGCCTTACGTTGGCGGCAATATGAATGATATCCTGATCAAGAAACTTCTTTGGTATGTAATTTACAAGTTAGCTGAATCAGCCGAATATCTATCCAACCCTAGATAGGTATTTATTGGTGGGAAGGTGAGGCAGTACCCTCAGTCCCGATTCCCTAAGGATTTTATCAGCATCCATCCACCGCCGCCGCTGCCCCGATGCCTGTACGGCACCAGACCGAGCGGCCGCCAAAACTAACACGCCCCAAGAAGGGGGGAGGAGGAAGAGGGGGAGGAGGGGGAAAGCCGGAAGATTCGGGCGCCGCCGCCGCCGCCGCCGCCAGGCGGGTTCCGGCGGCCTCGGAACAACCCACACGAGCTAAAGCGCCGATAGCGGCCGGCCGTGTGGCGTCTAGCGCCGCGGCCGCCACCGCCGCCGCCGCCACCGCCGCCGCCGCCATCGCCACCCGGGATGACGTACCTGGCAACCTCGGCCCTGGGATATCACGGGAAGTCATCGAAGCTGCCGCCGCCGCCGCCAAAGAAAAAGGCCTCGGCGGCGGCGGCGGCCGGAAACGCAAGCGGAGGGCATCCGAGGGTGGCGCTGGCGCTGGCAGCGGTGCTGTCAAGCCGGCGGCGGCGACGGTGCGTGTAGCGGTCCGGAGGATGAGTGGCGGCGGCGGCGGCCGCAGCGACGGCGGCGGCGCTGCTGCTGCATCTGCTGCGCCAGGTGCTGCGCAGGTCCTGGCAGCAGTGGGTTGTCGTACGGCGCCTTCCGTACCCATCTGTTTCAATCGTGTTGCCAGCGGATTGCCGCCGCCGGTGCCGGCACCGCCGCCGCGGCGGTGGTCGCTGCCTGGCGTCGCTATGCCAAGCGGTACGGTGACGGTGGCGGCGCCGCCAGGCGAGCTGATGCCGCTGCAGACGCCGCCGCCGCCGCCACGGACGGCCTCATTACATGGATCATCGCCCGGTCGGCCCCGGCGTCAGCGCATCGTTGTGTTGCCCATTCGGTCCGCCGACCCCAACACAGTGCATGATCATCATCATCAGCAACAACAACAACAACAACAGCAGCAGCAGCAACAACAACAACAACAGCAGCAGCAACAACAGCAATACCAGATGCAACATCTTCGCCATCAGCAGTACCATCCGTACCACCAGTACGACCAGTACGGCAGATACGGCCTTGAAGGACCAGAGCAACAGCGAGAAGGCTACATGCAGCTGAGCCCACTGCCGCAGCAGCACCAGCAGCAGCAGCGGCACCAGCAGCAGATGATGATGATGCCGCAGCAGATGCAGCATCACGAGGCAGCAGAGGCTGCTATTGTTTCGGACGGTGCTACGGCAACGGCAACGGCAATGCGCTCAGGAATGCCGCCCGGCAGCTTCCGCAACGGCGCGGGCTGGAACGCTGGTGGAACGTCACCTCGTGGAATCGCCAGCGGGGACGCCGCCGCTGCTAAGGTTCCTTGTGTACGGCACGACGACATAGCCGGCGTTAGTAGCATCCAACGTCGACAACTGCCAAGATACGATATACCGATGGACAGGTCTGGAACTAGATCTGCGCCGGCGGCGGATACCGACGGTGGCGGCGGCGGCGGCGGCGGGGGTGGTGGCGGCGGCGGTGGCGGCGGCGCATACATTGGCACAGCAAGTGGTGCGGGAGTCGGCGCAGCTGAGACGGCGGCACAGCCCCAGCAGCCGTTGACCCGTCCGACCACCGCGGCACAGCGCTTGCGGGCGCTGTACGACAGTTGCGGATTCAGCTCGTCCGACATTTCAGTTGCGGATTTTGAATCCGAGGAGTCCGGCCTGGAGGTGGCGGAAACTGCGCAGGCAGCTTCGGGACTGGATCCAGAGTCCAGAGCCGACGGGGATGCAGAGGAGGAAGGGAAGGAAGGGGGGGCCTTAGCTGCTACAGCTACTGCTGCTACAGACGCCGGAGCCCTAGGTTCACCCACTAGGAGTGGTGGCGGCGGCGGCGGTGGCGGCGGCGGCGCTGAGGCTGTCGTAACGCTTGGCCACGCTCGCGGCATGGGTATTATGGTACGACCCCATGTACCGCCGCCACCCTCAGTGGGTGATGTCCTCGAGGTTGCATTGTACGGCACCGGGCTTCCCGCCGCTGCTGCCGTACAGATAGCCGAGAGGATCCAAAGCTGGTGGTTACGGGGCAGTGAGGAGGTTGAGGATTGCGATGATGACGGCGGCCGCAGCGGCGGCAACAATGGCGTCGGGAGGTTGCCGGCGGCGGCGGCACCGGCGGCGGCTAAGAGGACCGTCGGGGGACTGCTGTCCTGGCCAGGATGGGCTGCTGTGAAGATGCTGTGCGCAGGCGTTGAGGATGAGATTGCGTTGACGACGGCGGCAGAAGGCGAGATGGCGGAGGAGGAGGGCGTCACGGCGGCGGCGGCGGCGGTGGCGGCGGCAACCACCAGGGTCGCCGATGCCGGGGAGGTCTTCGTACCCACGACGACGACGGCGGCGGTGGCGGCGGCGGCGGCTGGCGCCCGCCTCAGTTGCGGCGGGAAGGTCTCCGTCAGCAACCCCACCAGCAGCGCTGGCAGCGGCGGTGACGGTGGAAACGACGGCTACTGCGCTGTACCATCCGTGCCGTACACCCCGCCAGTTGTACCGACGCCACTCGTTGCGAGGGTGCTGGCGGCGTTGGAGCAGGAGCGTGCCGCCGGAAGGTTTGTACGGCTGCCGGCGACGTCGGTCTGGACAGCGTCGGCGGGCGCTGACGGCGGTGACGACGGCGGTAGCGGCAAGGCCGTGGCGGCTCCTAAGGTCCCCGGTCCGGAGGAAGATGTATGGATGGTTGCGCCGCCGCCGACGAAGCCAGAGCTGGGGGGGGAAATGGTGGCGGCGGCGGCGGAGCTGTCAGGTGCGGTAGCGGTGCCGCCGAAGCCGAAGCCGCCGTCATTGCCCCCCACCGCGACACCGGACGACCCCGCTCAGACCAAGCTCGCTGCTGCAGAGGAGGAGAGACGCAAAGAGGAGGTTGCGACGGTGGAGGCGGCGGCGGCGGCGGAGCGGATCGAGTCGCCCGCGGCGGGGGCTGCCGACGGCGGCGACGGCGATGACGGAGGCCCGAGATCAGCAACTGCGCAGGATCTTTCCGGATCAGGCGGGGGAGGCGACGGGGGGGCTGCGGCACCCAACAGTACGACGGACGACGGCGACGACTCGGCCGCCGCACTGGCGTACTTGCGGCGAGAGATTCGTTTTTTCAACGAGCTATATGAAAAGGTACGACAGGGTGTATACGGCATGCTTCGTGCGGCATGCGGCCGCAAATACTTTTAATTACGGTTGTAGAAATATTTTTTCGTTATCGCAATTCGTCGTGTATGTTGACGAGCTCAACTACTAGTTGAGGATTGCGACTCCGTGTTACATTACGACTTTCGAGAAGTACCGATCGACGGCTGCCGAGCCCCCCCCCCCAGGTGAGATAGGCCCTCCCTGATACTCTGACACTCTGTGGTCGATCTCCGTAGAAGGCCCTGCGCGGCTCATGAAGGCGAGAGGGACTTCCGAAAGCACCAATCAGCAATGCCACAAAGAGGCTTGAGCTCCGTGCCGCCGCGGCGCTCTGTTGACAGCACCAATCCAATCCACCGGGGGCCTGGGACGATACTCCCCATGCCCCGGTGCACCGCTCTGCAGCAGCACTCGTCATTTTGGGGGATAAGGGGTCCGAGGGGCGCGTGGGGGCGCAAATGCTGTTGGGTCCTCAGCAACCGAAGCGCGGCGGCAGCGGCATGCACCACATATGGTGTGATGTGGTGTGATGTGGAGTGTGGTGCGGTGCGGTCCGACCCTCCCCCCCTGTAATAGCTGGTCGCGGAAAAGGCCTCCAGAGATAGTGGCTGGTGGAAAGCGCTTAGTGCGTACTTGTAGTTGTTGTGTGTGCCGTACTGTGTACGGCAGCTACTACACACCCTCATTTTTCACCACCTTTCATATTTTGAATCCTTCCACACCGCACCACACCTACCTACCTACCTACCTACCTCATTCAACCTACATACATACTTCACTTCACTTCACTTGCACGCTCACAGGAAGTCCAAAGCCTGCTGGGGAACCGGCGGAGAGCTACCTGCTGGCCAAGCGGCAACACCCGCACAACCTGAATCAGGGCCCAGCGGCTGCGGCAGCCGCGGCGGGTGCTGTACGGCGGGTGCTGTACGGCGGGTGCTGTACGGCGGTCAGGATTAGAGTCAGCGGCGGCACTGGTAACTGCCATAGTGGCGAGCTGACGTGGACTGTGCCTAGTCTCCCGCGTGCTCTGGTGAGACGAGGTGGTGGTGAGCAAGGGCGTGTGTGTACCTGCAGAAGCTTCCTTATGCAGGTAGAATCACCGCCCTTGCCCACCGCCCTTGGTTTGTATGTGGTGTGTGTGGATGGTTAGGTGGGTTGGTGTGCATGCACATGTCTTGGGAGAGAACATTGCGTACGGCGACACGTAGTATGTGTACGTATGTATGTGTGTGCAGCGGGGTTCGCTGCGGGACACTCCATGCTAGAATCTCATCTCCGCGGGTGATGTGTGTGATGGGGGAGAAACTGACCCGGCGAAAACACACTCGCGGGTTGTGTCGACAGCGGGCGGTTTGGAGAACCTTGAGACATGTCAACTCTATACACTCTCGTTGCGTTATACTATGTCCTTTACCTAACTTGTGGCTCTTAGGCTCTTGGTCCTCTGCTGGCCGTTGTATGGGCACTCCTCGTCACACCTCTCTGGGTAACTAACGCAACCGAGGTGTAACACACCGCTATGAAATAGCTGATCCCACTACGCACCGAGCAGAGAACAATAAGGCCTTCCGTCGTTCTGGATGTTTGGAAGTGCCGTGAGAGTGGTTGTGAATAAAGTACCTTAAGTAACCGTCTTCAGGGTGTTGGGCATGGGTATTCGCATCTTTGGGGGCACTTTCCCAGGTCGGGAGGTTGAGGAGGGGACGCGGAGAGGACTGACGGAAGGAAAGGACCCGGTCTGTTAAGGAAAGAAACGGTGGATCGGTCAGGTAGGGATTAAACAACGAATTTTATGCTCTGTCGCTGCTGGCCTTATGGCGTCGTGTGGTCGTCAAATCCAGGTTTCTCTGCAAGTCCTTCTTAGGCCGCCCCAAACGCCCTTAGGACGAGGTGCAAAAGCCGTTGGCCGTTGCGCCGAGATTGCTGGGACGCAACTGCAAAAATACTTGAGGTGGATTTGAGGGTTGGATATGGACTAGTATATACATGCTCGGCGGTGAGGTGAGGCTTTTGTACTCGCGCGTGCATAGTCCTGCAACTTGCATGGCACACGCGGATGATCGACTCTGTTAGGAGTGTATACACGATGAAAAGAGAGGTGGTGTTGCAGTTCTTGACGTGCTTATCTGTAGTGCGGACGCTTTCGGACATTTATGTGCATATGCTGCTGTTGCTGCGGAAATGTCGACGAGGCGTTCCTCCCAAAACTTTCAGCACGGGCGATGAGAGTAGAGGCCTTTCTCCCATAGACTGCGTTTCCGTCCTTGTAATTGTAAACGGTTGTCAACATGTCAGGATATAGTAATGCGATAAGATCCATGTCAGCGGTGAAAGACAGCGAAGTGGAAACCAAGCTCTGCCTATAGCTGTGTGGCTAGTTTCCTCTAGGCGGCCTAGGAGACCAGGCGGCTGCACACCGCGCAATCAGGCGTGCCGAGCCCATCAGGCGAGAGCCGTGGCCCCTAACCCCCACCGGCCTTTATAGACGGGGCTCCCCCGCACTTGTGACTTAGTAACTTGTTATCCAAGCGAACTTACAAGGTTTCCCAAGAACAGCGCGTCAACAGTCATCTGTAAAACTCGTTCTAGCGCCTTCGTCAGTGAACGAAGCCATAAGAGTCAACTTCTGGTAACAGGCACAGCTGTGAATGCAGGAGGTACATCCAGGTGATATGATGCCGAAGGTCCGTCGTGTCCATCCTTCAGGCGGCAAGCACATCCATCATAGAAATAGATGCATCCCATTCAAAAAAGCCACGCGGTCACAAACCAACCCACACATCCACCTAACGACCGCCAGAGAGCAACAAAACAGCGGCGGCGGATGCGGAACGCTCCTGCGCCGCTTTGAGCGAAGCACGGGAGGATGTAAAAACGTCGTCGCCGGACGACCGTATCTCCAGCAAGACGCGGATGCAATGAGGCACAGGATTCGAGGCGGCCTACTGACGCCATGCAGGCCATTGTTAAGGCTCAGCGCTTGAACAGGGGAAAAAGCGGTTTTCAACAATGCAGAGCAGCAGAGGCCGCAAGCAATGGGCACATACAGGATACACGGACGGTCGTCTTTTGCCCCATCCAATTCCCAAGCTCTGTCCGTATATGTCCATCTATCTCCAGGATTGCGAGTCGACTCACATCCCACAGCTGGCTTCTTGCTGTAGTGGCGGGTTCACGGTAACGGCAACGGGTTGCACACGGCCACATCAAGAATGGCAAAAATATCCCACACCGGCTGGACAGGCGCGAGTCTGCCCCAGGGGTTTCAGCACCTCCTTGGCCTTTCTCCTCATCCTTATCCTTGCCGGTGTGTTCCATCATCCACATGCCCAAGGCCTTCCCAATGATTACAGCCATGTGGGACATGATGCCGGAACACAAAACCAACATTGTGCTGCGGCCGGAGCACAACCCGCAGCAACATGTTCCCACCACACAGCGTCCAGGTCAGTGACCCCCGTGACCCCTCGAGCACCAGCAGCGGCAGCAGTAGCCTCCGACAGCGCCAGAGAGGCGCTCCAACCGGAAGGTCTACGGCATCGGCCATGCCCCGGTATAGCATTCGCCCACGCTGCCCGCATGGAAATGTGCACCGAATGCCTTTCCCCCTCCCCTGCCTGCGAGCATTCTCTCCCCGCTCGACGCGGTGATAGACGCGTTCAAGCAGGCAGGGCTACCAACAATGCGCCATGGGCATTTTGCGATGTGCACCCGTTCATCTGTACACCTACGACCTCCATCATTTGTCCTGTTTAGCTTTGAAGGCCTGGCCAGGTAAGAGAGCAAGCCAAACTGTGAACAAGAAGTCAGACCGATGTGCCCCCAAAACTTCAGACCGAAACCCTTCCATTCTCGTCGTCACGGTCGTGAGCTCCTGCCACCTTCATCGGCGGCTAATAGCCCTTCATCGGGGCACCTTGGCCCGGCTTCGTCGGCGCGCAATCTTCAATCCCTTTCGGTCTGCAACCCCTGCGCCTGCTTCCCCGCCGCCACCTCGGCCGGTCATGACGCGCGTTCATGAGAAGTCCACGAGAACCGTTGTGTCCATTTGACCACAACACGCCGCTTGGTAACTGTGTTCGCTGCCAGCAGACACCGTCACTCAACAGAGAGACGTCCGCTTCATAAGACATACAACTTCCGTGTGCCCGCAATGACACCCCTCCATTCCTCCTCCACCTTTACTTCCAGCTTATTATTGCCGTGTTATGGCCTCAATACACCGGCGCCATCGTTCACCCTTCCTCCCTACCTCCTTATTAAGCCCTGTCGGACAGAAGGCTGAAGCCCGGTACCGTGGCAGTAATACCGCCTACTTTCTTAACCGTTGGCTGCTTGCCACCGCCACTACTGCCGCCCTTCTTATTGCCGCCGCTAGCGGCGGCCTGCTGCGCGGTGCTGGTGGCCTTCTGCCACTCGCTTACGGCAACTGCGCTCTTGCTAGTAGCGCCCTTGGCCGCCGCGGCTCCTGCAGAGCCGCCCCCGCTTCCCTTATTCTTCCCCTTGGACCCGGACGCCTGCCGAGCCAACTCCGCGTCCTTGCGCTTCAGGAAGTCCGCCACGAAGGTTGAGACGTTGGGCTTGCCGCGCATGTAAACCTGGGATGCGATTACAAGGAGAGAGCAAAGGGAGAAGCGCATGAGAAAGGTGAATGTGAATTTAGAACAACCCCACGGGCACGGATAACGGTTATGGTGCACGGGCCTCGTACACGGCATATATAGCAACACCAAGTTCATAACATTTATCTGGGAAAAGGCGGCGACTGCCTAATGTGCTTCGTAGCATGCACTGGTCTACTCCAGAGAGTTCATCGGATGCGACGTACCTGGCAATAGTCCGCCACCTCGCTGCGACTGTTGACGGTTAGCAGGAAGTGCACCAGTGACAGATCGTCGTTGCCAAAAAACTCGACCATCTTCGATCGGCACCAATTCTACATTGTGAGACGGAGCAGGGAAACCAAGGGCAAGGGAAGGCGCAAGATTATTACGCGGGCCTTACATAGGTTGACGGACGGGACACCACTGATCTCCAAGAAGCTAGCCGACAGAATCAGTGCAATGGCTATAACCGATTTCGTCGCCCAGTTGTGATAGAGTAAGTGAGGGCATCCACGTGCGCCACGCCTCTCAGGAATTCCGCCGCGGGACTTGGACTTAGGGGGCCTAAACACGCGCGGTGCCGGCTTCCTGACACCTATTGACACAGCACCAGACAGTACCCTTTTCTGTATGGGACATCAAATCAACTTTCAATATATGTAGTCCATGGCCCCCAATCGGTCTTTAACGGACAACCCCGCATCTGTGCGGAACTTGTAGCTCTAAAACAACGAGACTGTGAGGTAGCAAGCGACACAGCATTATGGAAACGCATTGCAAACAAAGCATTCCTTACCCGAAACTCCGCCGACATCTGAATCTCGCCGTCAAACAACCCTGCCGAATCATCACCACCAGGATTCGACGCCATGGCTGCAGGAGCGTACGATGTCGACGTCGCTGGAGCTGGCGCTGGAGCAGAGGCTCGCGTCGGTGCCACCGCGGCGGCTGCCGGTTTAGCTATCACAGCTGCCGCCGAGGCGCGCGCAGCCGGCACTGCATTTAATGACTTGGCAGCGACAGCCGCCGCCGTTGGCGGTGGCGGCGCAGCCGCTGCCGCCATGGATGCCCACCCGCCCCGTGCAGAAACAGGTGCAGAGGGCGGTGCTGGTGCAGCAGGCTTGGCAGCAGCTGCCGGCTTGGGGGCTTCAATAGAAGCCGCACGCGCTGGCGCTGCTGGTGCTGTGGCTACTGGCCCGTAGTCCCAAAAGAGCCCCTCGTCCTCAGCACCCGCCGCAGATGAAGCCGAAGTCGACGCAGCACGGACGGGCGGCGCCGCCGCCGCGGCCCGCCGCCGTGCAGCCTCCTCCTCTTGCTGTTGAATATCCCTCAGCGTTGGGCCCGGCGGCGGTGCTGGCGCCGCAGACCAACCGCCGTTCGCAGATACCGGTGGTACCGGCGGCTTCTGCTGCTGAAGCATTGGCAGCACATCAGAAAGATCTTCCTCAACAACACCGCCTTCTAACTCAGCCGCGCTTTCCTCGTAAATTACCGCCCGAAGGTTAGTGACCGGCGGAGGCTTGGCTGCAGCTCCACCCCATGCCTTCGGCGCAGCGGATGACGCTGCAGCTGCAGCTGGGTTTAGCTGCTTCTCCAGAAGCTCTGCTAGGGTGGTACCGCGCGGCGCTGTACCAGTAACTCCGACAGGAGCGGTTGGGGGCTCAACCGGAGCCGCCGTCACCGCCGGCCGTCCGCCACGCGCGGCCGGCGCGACCGCGGCGGCCGCGTTTGAAGCGATCGGCGCTGTCTTTCGAGAGGGCGACGTATCAGCGGCAATGCTAGAACCGGTAGGAGTAGCGACAGCAGGTGCCTGAGGGGCAGCGGGTGGCGGCGCAGGACGCCAGGCGGTCCCCGCGGGTGCTGGTGGTGGCGGCGCAGGTGCTACTGTGTTAGCGACAGCCGCGTTGGGCCCTGGCGTAGCGGCAGCGATTTTCGCCCAAGGAGAGACACCAGCGGGTGCAGCTGCAGCAGGTGTCGCTGCTGCGGCTGCCGCTGCCGGCATGGTCGCTACTGCGCTCTGGGCGGGGGTAGCCTCTGGTGCAGCTGCTGCCGCCCGAGCAGCACGTGCTGCTGCCTCAGCCTCCTGCATTTGAATCTCGCGCAGCGTCATGCCAGAAGTGGGTGGCTTAGCTGCTGCGGCCGAGGCCCAAGGTGCCAACTTGGGTTCCGGACGTGGCGTCACGGTCGTGCTTGAGGACTGCCCTGCACCCGCTGAAACATCCTCCGCAGCAACTGCCGTTACAGTCGCAGGCTGCGGTGCAGCCGTTGTCTGCGGCTTCGGCTGCTCTTGCAACACAAGTTGTGGCGTCTTTTTCTTCTTTCCACCGCCCGTTCCAGCGGCGGACGCAGATGCGGTGTCAGTCAACGATGCAGAGCCCGTGGCAGTTGTGGTGGATTGCTGGACAGGCTCTGTGGCTAGCGCCTGCAGCTCGGCAGGAGCAGACTCACTGCCAGGCTGCGACGTCCTGTTTGCCGTGGCAAAGAGTTGCTGCAGTGCCGGCGGCAGTCCAGAGATTGGCCTGTAAGGCTCCGGCACAACTGCAGCTCCCCAAGCGCCCGCTTGTGGCTGATGCGACGGCAGCGCACCCTGCATTGGGGGTAACTCCTGAGCAGCTGGCGGCGCAACCGTCGGGGCCGGTGGAGCCGCCGGAATAGTTTGCTGCGCCGCCACAGCCTCCGCTAAGGCAGCAGCCTGCTGCTGCTGCTGCTCGCGAAGCGCAGCCTGACGTGCTGCTTCCATTGCCTGTTCCCTTTGTATATCAGCTAGGCTGCGCGAAGCAGCAACCGGCTGCACTGGAGCCGTGCCCCAGGCGGAGGCTTGAGACAGCTGTTGCTGTTGCTGCTGCTGCAATGCTGTCTGCTGTTGGATCGGCATGGTCACCTGTTGCGGTGGCGGAAGCTGCGGTGGCATCGCAGGGTTAGCCTGCAGTGGTCCCGGCGCGGGCGGCTGGGGCTGCACCGGTTCTGGCTTGCTAAGGAGCGCATCGGACAGTGGGGCAAGTCCAGGCTGGCCCGCAGCCGTGTCTCCGGCAACTGCGATGGTAGGAATCAGCGAGATAAGGTTTGCACGAATCATGGAAACAATGGACCTGCAAACCTGCAACGCTGAAAGGCATGCTGCCAGGAGACACGCAGCACCGTGTCTTACCGCGCCCCTGCGCATATACGTAGCTGAGGAACTTACATGCTCAGGATAGTTTATTGCACCCGACCCAATTCCTGGCCCCGCGGGCGCCCCCCCCCCCCGAAAGTCGTTCTCCGGAAAGCCCTTCCATGAAGCTACTCAACGCTGATCCATGAACCTCCGTTCCTAGCGGTGCATCACCCCCGACCACGGATCATAGTGCACGTGTGGGTTGTCCAGCAGGACTCACCTGCCGCTTGCGGCACGAAGGGCCCGGGGCCCAGCGGTGGCCCCTCGGGTCGGAAGGGCGGTCCGCTGCCCCAAATGCCAGCTGCTCCGTGAATGCCTGGGTGCAGGTCCGGCCGCCGAAGCGGATCGTAGCCCTGATAAGGCAAACAGAGAGGTAAAGCATGACATCAATGCAAGCGCAGATGCATGAATTGCTACTAGGATGGAAATGAAGGAAAAGCAACTTTCGGTATGACGCCTCCGCACCAGATCAGCACCATACGAGGATGAGAGATGGAGGCAGCAGGGAGCAGAGCGCTGTAACGAAGCATGCCCCGTGCCTTTAACCACAGGGCAAACGCAAAAGTAAGCAATCAGGGCGTTAGCTTACCCCGACGAGAGGATCGCGGCCCCAGCCAGGAAGCACCGGTCCGCCAGGCGCCCCAGGCAGTGGGCCTCCTGGACCGACAAGGGGACCACCCCAAGGCCCCGGGCCGATGCCAGCCGGGCCACCCATTCCACCTAGACCGCCGGGACCCATGCCCGCAGCACCTGGTAGTCCGGAACCAAAGCCTCCTAGACCACCCCCCAAAGGCCTGCGGGTTCGACGTGTTAGGCAGCCGGGATGTCGGAAGCCCCGAGACGCCGCAAAAAGACCAGCCTTCCGCATGTGATAGGATATGCGCCACCACGCAGGTGCAAATGCGGTTAGGGTTTTACCAGAGAAACATTATGTACACTGCGGTATTTCAAGGTTCAGGCAGAAAGGTCTCACGTCTTTGGAACCGCCTGACGGACTCCTCATGCTGTGAGGTCGCCAGCGCGACGCGATCGACATGCATGCGTAGAGCACGGCATTGTACCAACCAACTGTTCCACAGACAATCGTCTACTGTCGCAACCCATGACAGATTCACAAGGTGGTTTATCCGACCGTTAATGGGAAGTTGAAGACACAGGTGTCTGCACCCTGTACCTGCCAGACAACGAGACATGAGCCCCAAACTTACCCGCCCAGCCCGCCCAAGCCCCCGAGTGGCGTTCCGCCCAGGCCATTGGATCCCGCCGAATGCAGCTGGACAGGGGGATCCAGTGTGAAGGGCCGCGCGACTCCGGGCTGCTGGACATTGTCGGGAAGCGGCACAGGTGCACTAGTGCCCAGAGGTCCCTGCAGACCTCCCAGACCTGCTGTAGCCGCTGTCGGTTGCTGCACAGGAGACTCGGATGCGAGCTTCTTCCCGAGGAGGGTCTCCAACAAGGACGACGTGCGCTGCGCGGTGCCGCCCGGAGCTGCAGCGGTGGCGGAGCTTGCGTTCTGGGCTGCGGCCATGGAGCCCGCCTGCGAAAGGTCACCGGAAGCCGCGGCTGACAGCCCGATTGACGACACCGAAGGCAGCGGCGCGACGGCTGCTGCTGTTGCTTGTTGTGTCTGTGTGACCTGTCATGGGCCGTGGGGCACCAATTGTTATAACGATGCTATCATAACGGGATACGACACTGACACGTTGGCCGGTCAGTCGTACGGCTCGTCTAAGAGCGCATAATGGACGGTCGACATTTCCTGTTCCCATTTCAAGGACATTGGCGCGTCGCCTAAGCTGTAATCTCTGTGACAGCAAAAATGCGTTTCTGCGGCTGACCCAAGTAATGCGGCTGAACAAGAATTGTAGCAACACAGCTTAAACAGCTCGCCGCTCCGCACCTGTGGCTGCTTATTGGCGTCTGCAGCTGCATTGGGCAGCGCCACCGTTGGTGCCGCGGGCGTAAAGCCGGGGGGACCCAGAGGCCTCCCGCGTTCGATAGCGTCCCACATCTTCATCATCTGGCCTAAAGGAATAAAAGGCGTGCCCTCAAGCGCCGCAGCTCGGATGGGCAAGTCCTCGCCAAAATAGTGGAAGGCTAGCCAGTCCAAAATGTCCATGCGCGTAAAAGGACCTTGTGTCTGTTGGGGTGATCGACAGATGGGTTGGCGGATCCGGCCAGGGGTAAGCGACCATCGAAAGGAAGAGCACGCGATCACAGAAGCAGCGAGCTTGGCTTTGTGGTTCGCACGTGGACACATAGCCACACATCTTCCCAAATGAAAGGCAAACCAAGTTATACAGTAGCCGCTTTGCCCTATCCCAGCATACCACATCCTGCTGCTCCACGCTTCTGGCCTTCCCGCCGCAATTCTCCATAACTCCCAGTCTACAAAATCAGCTCACCACTCCCTGCGGGTCTTTGTAGACCCACTGGTCCTGCAAGTAAAGCTCGTGCGTCACCGGCAGCGACGGCACAGGAGGGTTCGAGCTGACCGACGTCAATTGGGTCTGGCCTCCGGGGTGTGCAGCACCCGCCGGCGCAGTGCCGCCTCCGGACAAACCGTTCGCAGACTCGCCAGCACCGGAGCTCGACCCACCACCACCTGAACCCATGCAAGGCCGTGTCGTGCGTAGCAAAAGGCATTTGACACCAGCGGCCAATGGCTTGGTGGCACGAAGAGGCCTAAAGCACTTCACTACGCGCCAACCCTCCATGGCAAAATCCACTGTTGTAAGAGGGCTCGGCTAAACTTGCAGCGCTGCCGGCGCGATACAGGCGCTACGCCACTTTCGGTCCCATCCACATGCACCCACGTTCCAGAGTCTTCATTGTAATGCCGCACTCACCAAGTTGCTGAGCAGCCGCCTCCGCGACGGACTCCGACAGGTACTCCGAGTACTGGAGAGCGACCTGTGCAAACGGAAAAAAATGTTTCTGACCCAAGCTAATCCAATACGTTTAATCCGATCAATGTTAGTGCCACGTCACGAAAGAGTCAAGTCGCACAGAGCAAGACAAGCTCGGTACGTCAATCGTGAAAGACAGCAGCATGTGACCTGATGGCGTATATATCCCGGCAGAGCAACCCAATAGCCACATCGACTCGGCCCGTCTCCTAACAAACATGCGTAAGCTTACAGTGCAACCCGTGAGAGCGTAATGCAGCGCACCTCAGGATTGATGCGAGGCATTGGCAGCTTTTCGCCATGCGAGGACAGCATGTGATTATAGATCTTGCTCATCACCGGCGAGCTATAGCGGCGAACACCGCTGTGGCCACCGCTGCCATACCCGCTTCCACTTCCTCCGGGTCCCGCGTTGCTGTCATGACGGTCCAAATGCCCCCCACGCGGCACGTCCCAACGGTCCGGCGCCCCAGAGCCCGGCGCAGCTGGACCCGAAGCTGTGGGTTCGCGGCAGCAAGAAGATGGCATGACGATGAGAGCCCCGCAGACACGAGCAAAAGTTGAACGAGACACGATGCGTCTAACGCAAGGGAGGTGACCTTACTAATAATCCCAAAGTATAGGAGGTATTCGGCAACAATGCATGGTTCAGCTGACGCGTACCCACGTTTAAGTCCCCGGCCGCGTCCGGTGGCAAAGCCTCGGCCCCGGCCGGCCTGTGTCGCCGCGAAGCTGCCATCAGAAGCACCAGAACCCCCGGCCAAAGGCCCACCTGCACGTAAAGCAAAGAAAAGCAAGGCCCAGGACTGCTGGATGACCCCGACCGAGACGTCCTTCTGCCCGCCGTATACGATCTGATAGGCCTCGTATGTTTTGTATGTTTCGACATGCAATCTGTCATCTTGCGGCTAGCGTGAAAGGCGTTGGCAAGGTCAGGAAATGGCCGCAAAGAAGGGGCGGCTGATGTAAGAAGCGATAACCCTCATGTCGTGAACAGAGCTGCATTTAGTCTTAACCAACAGCCTATATTGGATAAGCTTTGCCCTTAGCCAGCGCAAGGGATACGTTTTGTGGTCATACCTCCAGCGCCCGGTGTGCGCCAACGGTCTTCTCCAGAACGGCGGTCCGCGCCTGTGCAAGCACGCAGGCATACCGGACCCAGAAATTGGACAGGAGGGGTTGCAACGTGAAGGCAACGTGGAGGTCAAGTTGACCCGTGCGCAACCCATGTCAACTTAAGTCGAAGACCCCCATGACAGGCAAAGATGGCCAGGGCTCCTCCCCTTAAGGAACTCACCTTCCGAGCCCCACCGGTCCTGGATTGAGGGGCGCTTGGGCAGCTCCGGCTCCGGCGGCATACCGGGGAGCCACTCACGCTCACCAATAGCTGCACCGCTTGGCTTCCTATCCACCCATCGATCGTCAGCAGGAGGACGCCCGCGACCACGTCCACCGGCATCACCCCACCGATCTGAGAAACCACGAAATTATGAGAAACAGTCAGAAGATCACGCTTATAGCAAGCAAAGGGGAAGATAATTTAAATTGCACTGCCTAAACGCCACCTGGGGCAGTATATTAGGAACACCCCCGGCGGAAGCACAGGTCAGATAACGTAGCCCGCAACTACCGCAAACATTAAGACACAACAATAGCCCTTAGTCAGAGGAGGTACATTATAAAGCAACAGGTTTTTACCTGAGCCACGGTCCTCTTGCCAGCGCCGCGGCTCTTCCACAGAACCCCACCTGGAAAAGATTATCCAAAAAGTGAATAGCCATAACATGGCTAAAATGATGAGTAAATTATCAAGTAAAGGGGCACTTCTACTTGCCTGTCATTGTCCCAAGTGTTGTTGCGATCGCGCGAGTCCTCCTCGCGCTCGCGCCAGCGCGCCGGCCGGTCCCGGGCAGCGTTATAGTCGGGCCTATCCTTCTCCGGCCACTTAGGGTCACGGTTGGACGGGGCATCAGGGCCACGCCAGGTAGCGCTGCCCTGTTTGGCGGCGGCGTCCGGCTTGGAAGCTGGGGCGCCGGAGTTGTTGCCGTCCCAAGGTCCAATCAACGCACTTTTCATGGGCTGTTCCTGTAATTTCAATTATGTAGAATCTAAGGGTTTATACATGCAAGTTCTTCATGTATCATAAGGCACCAAAACTTCGGTGCAAGGATTTTCAACCGCGGTAATGGGCGAGCGGCACGCACCATGCTGGTAGCACGACCAAAAGGCTGCCTCCACTGTGGTGATAAAGGCATGTCTGCACCTCCACCAGGAAGCGGGGCTCCCGCCAGCGCCCCTGACAAGGCAACGCGACAATTTGCGCCCAAGGGGGAGGCCCATCACTACATGTCTGCCTGAGCTTCAGCATCATACTGTGCTCACCAAATGCTGAGCCATTATGATCCGCCATGAAAGGGCTCTGCGCAAACCGGCCCAAAGACTATGAATTAAAAACTTTGTAAGGTTGTAGAGAGCGCTGTGAAGGGAGACTTTGTCTGTGGTTGTATGGTACTACGCAAAAAGGATTGCCATTCGAAGAGGTCGGCGGGAGAACAAGACAAAGTGGGTCGACATCAATGACGGGACCTTTCCCGTACCGCATGGTAGTGCAAGCACAACCTGGTCAAAGCCACAACCTGTCCTCACATACCCACATCGTTATGTACCTGCCATCGAAAGAGGTGTTGCGGAGGGAGCACTCTCAAACTATAGTGATCTCAAAGACGGAAGGCGCTTGTTGCGGTACCTTCATATTGCAACTAAGGATAATAGCTTCAAACTGCTTTTGAACCAAACATGCGGCAGGGATTTAGCTCTCAGGTCCGGAATAAAGGACATGTTCATCGTGTTCCACGCCATCACAGCGTTTGGAGGACTGCGACTTTTAACCGACGAGCACAGGTAGGTACCCATAGTTTTCCTCCGGTTTATTTCTCTACTGGTGAACGTTAGCGACGCTGCGGCGGCCTCTAACCGCAGGCTCCAAATACATCAGCTGCGTCGCAAAGCGGGGGCTTGGGCAGCTTGTCGGTACTGACCAATACGCGTCCTGTGGATCGGCTTCGCTTCCAGTCCATCTTGGTCTTTAAGCACTTTGACACGGACGGGGACGGTACGTGCATCGCGCCGCTGGATGTTCTCACCTCTGCGGACTTCCTGTGTGAACTCCAACCCTGCCAAAACCTCGTATCTGGTCGAAAACCCTTGTGCTGGAACACGCCAGGGACTCTTGCCTCTTGGGATGGGCATAGGCTGCACTGGGGGGCTACCTGGGGTGTTAAAGGAAAATGCACTATAGAGTAACGTCTTATCAAAGGCCTATAGAGTAACGTCTTATCAAAGGCGATCCTAAGAATATGCGCCCTAGACGGAAAGGTGCTCGGTCATTACGACCTGCCTAACCCAAGGTCAAGCAATCCCGCTCCGTTTAGTTCCGTTTTCTGTCCGTGCTTGCCTGCCGAGTCGCCCCCGACCTCAAGAGCATAACTGGTCGAAGCCGGGAATTGAGCCTCGGCCCATACATTCCAGTATAGGGCTTTAGGGAAAGCGGATTATGAAAACAGAGCACCAGAATGCATCAAACATGGGTGCGTTGGAAGGGTCTAGTTGATCATATAGTTTTGAGCAGATGAGAGGTGATTGGACCCTGATATGAGTCGAAAACAAATTGCAGCAATTAGCCAGGAGTGCTACTCGAGGAGAGGGAGGACTGGCTGCTTGCCATTTGCGCTGGAGGGCACACACCCTGTTCTGTCTGTCTGTCTGTCTGTCTGTCTAGTCCTGGACGTGATCTGGGTCGAGGAGCCCCTAGCCAGCCGCGTTTCTGGCGGAGGGCTACGGTGTTTTGCTGGTGTCCATCTCAGTGATCACAGTACGCCGAGGGTTACGGAATTTTGAAGGAACTGGGCCGTCGCCGCGCGTCATATGCATGTTGTATGTGTGTAGGTAAGATAACGGCCGAGGAGCTGGACCGGTATGCCTCGTATAGTGCGGAGCGTTTTGGCCCCGTAGCGGCGCAGTTTACGCCACTGTACGACAACTTGCGCGCCGCGTCAGCTACTGCCGGAGCTGTGGATATGGAGTCATTTATCGACCTGGTCAGAGAGCAGGTGTGTATGTGGGGGGTGGATGATGGTCGGGGTGGGACTTCCATCATGCAAATGCCAACCAACTGCTAGAGTATAGCGCACCAACTGCCAGAGCAATGGTCAAAGTAATGCCGCGCCTGCCCGATTCTGGGTGGATGGATGGGTGGCAGCCTTTGTGCATTCGTATGTATGTATGTGTGTTGATGTGACAGGGCAGGGGTGGGTGCGTTTGAAAGATGTCGCGCCGTCCAAACAGCTATGCCACGTAGGAATGCGCGGATGGGTTTGTAACGAACTTTGTTTCCTAATTAAGTATCCAGCTAAGATGTACGGACGCACAGGGAAAAGCTGCTTTAGAGGAATCAAATCTACCGGGGGGGGTTGCCACCGGAATGGCTGACGAGGCTGCGTCCAGCAGGGGGTTTTTGCTGGGGCTTCCGTGTTTTACTACTCATATATGGTCTTCTCCGTGTTTGCGCCTATTGATCTTCCTGTTTGTATGATTAATTTTATTATATATATGTATGTACAAGAGGACGAACGCACGTCTATGAATATCCGAGGCGCCATGCCGGTCACCTGTGTTAGGAAGGACCAGTACCAGTACCAGTACCTACGTCCAGACGATGGTCGCGAGTGTCAAACTTTTTGAAGCGCAGAGCGCGGTACCCGCCTAAACGAACACAAACGGTTGTGTACAGCTAGTGTTAATTATCGTACCGACCGTTGTTGATTGCCGTCCGTAGTTGTCGCTGGGAAGTTACGGCCAGTCGGTCGGAACTCGATCCGGTCCCCATAGGCCCTCCACCGAGATGCGGTCGGAAGATCAACTCTGCAGAACTGGACAAGGGCAACAAAGGGGGTGTCAGCATCTCTCGCTTCCGTCCGCCAGCATCTCTCGCTTCTCGTCTCCTTCCGTCCGATATTCCTGTAGTATCCGTCTATCCCTGGCATCAGCTTGACTCGTCTGTGGTCCGTCTTTTCCTCCGCCACCGCGTTGCCGCGCGCGGTGTCCCAATCGTTTGTTGGGGAGGAGTACACAATTTTGAAATACGTGCACTGATATGTGCAGGCATCTACCGCGTGGGCAATACAAATCTCTGACTTGCTGCAACGTATCGTACAACCTGTAATCATTCGCATGCATGTATTCATGATGGGCCCCCAATATCGTTCAGATATAACTCGGGCCCAATGACGCGTGAGATTGACACAAACATGCGTATTCATTATGGCCGCTCTCTGTGCTCTGTACCGCGCAGGTGAAGCTTGCTGCCGCCAGTAAGGAATTCCCCCGCGCAGTGTTCAAGGAGTCCGAGCTGGGTCGCCTGGGCTGGGACTCCGCCCTGTCCCCTGCTGAGGTGTCCTCCGCGCTGGCAGTTTTCCGGCTGCTGGACTTCAATTTGGATAACTATGTCAAACTGGATGACCTCAGGAAGGCCCAGGTGCGTGTGGGTAGGCGTGTGTGGGTGTGGTTTGGTATGGTCGCGTGTCCGGTGGGGATGGATGTACTTGTGCGACGATGTACATGATGCCGCTGTCCCTAAGCATAACCTAAGCCTTCTGATTGTTGCCGCACCACATGATGGTGCGTGTAGTTTCCTGTCGGGGGTGCGGTCTGAGGCCGTGGCTTTCCCTTGTGGATTACATGCATGTGGATTATCCAGATGTACCGCCACGCTGTGTTTTAAGCCGCCATGATCCCGGAGTCTGTGTCCTGCCAAACCCTTTTTAGGGCATTGAAAGGGAGGTGGTCGCGGATAAGCTCGAGGACGCCGACACCAACGAAGATGGTTTCCTTTCCTTCAAGGATTTCTTGACGTCGTACGCTCGGGAGCGACCCGTGGTTCTCAACATGTTGGTGCTGCTGGCGCACACCGCCGTGTTCTGGCTCGTCTTCAGCTTGCCCATGTTGGACGTGCCGGTCAGGGCGGTGATGTGCCTGGCGTTGCTGATCAAGCCGCAGCTCGTCACGGGCCCGGTCATCAAGCTCTACCAAATCATGAGGACGGTAATTGACCGTGCGCGGGCGGAGATTGAGATGGCGAGCGCGGGTGGACGGGGCGCCGCCGCGTAGTAACGAAGTCACAGAGAAGTTGAAGCTGTAATGGGAAGTCTCTGTGTGCCGGTTGTGTTGTGTGTGTCTCGCTTCCTCGTGGGCCGAGACCTGGGAGACGGTGGGTTCGTCATACGCACAGCTTGATTGTTGGCCCGAGAATTTGTTTTGAGGGCTGAGGAGAGTGACTAGCTGAACAGGTCTTCGGTCTTCTTGTTGTGTAATAGTTAAGAGAGGGCCTTTTCTGTGGGACGGCGGAGGTCATGGCGGGTCAGGTTCGTACCTTCCTTCGGGGGAGGAGACTGATGTGTGCGATGGAGAGGGAGAGAGTGTGCGAGGCAGCATAGTGTTTTACTTATCTGTGTGTGTGCGCCGGAGTGTGTGCGCCGGATGCCGGCTTTCGAGCTGCCGGAGGTCGGTGCAAAGGACTTCATCATCAAGGGAGAACATTGAGAGTGGAGGAGCCTCTGGTGGGGCGAGTGCTCGACTAAAACTGCGTTACGGGAACTCCGATCCGAGGGGAGCGATGCAGCTGTGGACTGCATGAATGACGAGAGGCGAGAGGTTTTGAGCGTATAAATACAGAACGTTGCGAAATGCAGAGGATTATGCTGAAGGTTGTTGGCTTTACCTGTTGCTACCCTTCCGTATGTACATACATGCACACGTGCATATACCGTTTTGGCTGACGGGTGGCGCGCTGTAAGGCGCTCCGTTTTCATTGGTATTTTGGAGTGAAGATGCAATTTCGCGCTTTCCGCGAGGCTTCTAAAGGAGAGAGCCAGAGAAGTTGGGACGCCACAGTCGGCCCATCCTCATCCTTCAACACGTTCACATGAAGTTACAGGGGGTCGGGTTACTCCTCTTCAGGTATACATACATGCGCCACGGATACGGGTAGTACGTGGCCTGTCTCAACATACACGCACGCACGCGCGCACTCATGCAAAGTGGTTTATCGGCCGATGAATTCCCGCACACGGTTGAGCCATTGCTGGTACTCTAAGGTTGCCTTGTCCTCTAGGTACACCCGGATGTACTCTCCGAGATAGGCGTTCACCCCCCGCTCCTCAAGGAAATCCACAAAGGCCTGTTGGAGCGTATCGTCCAAATCCTGGAATACGGGACCCTTATACGCGGGCGGACCGTCGCTATCCTCGTATATGCCATCAAGGGCCACACGGCTAATGGTCAAATATTCGCCGTTGCTCTCGCACTCAAAGATCAGCGTGTCGTCTCCCTCCTTCGCGATGGTCACCTGGAACTCAACTGATGGCTCCTGCTCATCTTCATCCTCATACTCCTCTCCCTCCTCTTCTTCTTCGAGTATTGGTTGAGCATCTAGGTCGACGCGTACGATAATCTCCTCGTTCTCGAACTCCTTCGCCAGGACGAACCAAGTGGTTCCACGAGCGTCTTGCAGCTCAAAATCATTTGGTGGGTCTCCGATAATGAGTTCGCTGCGACGATAGGATTCACGTTCGTATTTGATCTCGTCCTTAAGAACCGCGATAAGGCTATTGGACACGGAAGATGTGCTCCGCTTGCCGGTCGCGTTGGTTGCCATCCTGGAAGTCCCTCTGATGCAATGACGACGTCCCGTGTGCGATGATATTGCCTGTCCTAGTGCTTGCCGCCCTCTCGTGCTTGGGCTCGAGCAAGGTTGTGGTAACGATGGCAAAGAAAGCCCGCGCGAAGGTCCGATCCTACATTGATGCATGGTAGGTAGATTCCTGACAATTTTACATGTCATGATCTTGTCTTTCAGCCTGATGAATGAGTCGCTTATGCTAAGGGCGCTGATGCCACTCTACTAATCAATACGAAAGCGACGCTGCCGACAGAACGCAATTCGCACCTGCGTAGAGGACAAAACTGTACCTAACCCTTTCACCGAAAGGACAGTTGTACGGCATTCTGGTTGGATTTGATTTACCTCGTCCGGAAATGTACCGAAGCATAGGTGACAAATCCGCTGCACGGATGAGTGGTACTCATCAACCTGAAGGCCGTTCGGACTAACTTAGCCGCACCAGGTTATTTGTGGAGTATGCTTTTGGCTGCTTTCCAGCAGGTGACAACACGAGTGCTGCATGGCCGTCACACAGTACAGCGTTACATCCATAGGCCGAGACAAGCATTCCTTTCCTTCGAAACGCCCTGGGGCTTATCGAAGTAAAATACCCTTTCCTGTGATACCTTCCCTGTGGTGCCTTTTTGGGATTAAACCATGCCATACCCAGCCTAGGTCGATCCCTGTCGTATTCAGGCCCAAAATGGATGACGGCCCCGGCACGTTACAGATTGAACACAACCATTAACAGGGAATCTTGCAGACCGCCGTGTGTGTGCACCTATCTAAAGGCCAGGAATGCTAATCAACGCAACAGCACTCCACCTGCAACTTCATCTCCATCGGAACTAGACCTAAGTGCGGCTCCTGTGCGGATACCCAAACGTACTCCTGCGCCTGCCATGTGGACCTCTTCGTCTTCAATTCTTCATTCGGCCCGGGACTGCCTGGGCCGAGGCTATCCAGAGTTCAAATGGGAAACCAATTTATGCGTCCATGGTAAACGCATACAGAATCCCCTGCAGTTCTCCTGAGCGTTTAAAGGAGATGTCCTAAATCAGCCAGGTGTAGCCGAATCAGCCTGATTGCTAAATGCATTACAGGGTTGCTACCCCGACACGTCACCCGTGCCGCGTAAGGACCGCCGCCAGCCCCTTTTTCAGGGGTCAATGTACTGGTAGTGGAATTTGGTGATGTGGTTGTGGTGATCGTCCCCACCGTTCTGGCCAGTGTTCCACGGGCGATTCCACACTGAGCAGGTGAAAAGCACCTGCCGCAGGCATGAACATTTTTGGAGATGTCTTACAGCGTCACAGCGTTCAAGCTGCTACCACTAAAAAAACATTGGGCCGGTGACGGAGTTTATGAAAACATTTGCCAGACCATGGCTAGGGGCTAAATCTGAACACAAATACAGCAGTCAATCCTAAAAGGCAGGCAAGCAGGAGCATAGACAACCGAAACTATGTTTAACGCAAAGCTTCTAGGCAAAACCCTGCCAATGCTAAGGTTCCGAAGCATCCGATAACGACAGGCAATTATGCCATGCACATCTGCATACATACCTGCTGGCCCTTTTCATCTTCCAGAAGCAGCTCCATCTTGTAAAGAATACCCGCCACAACCTGGGTCTTCGCAGAAAGAATTTCCAGCAGCTTCAGCTTGCCTGTGCGCTTAAGTGACGCGCACAGGCCATTGCAGTTGTTCGTATTCGCAGTACGTGTAACATAGTCAGCTGCATCCCTGATAGCAGGGTTGTCCACGTCCGCTTCTACGACCGCACCCAAGCCATGATGCTGGTCACCGGTATCAGCCGTTGCCTTCACCCACGCGCTTGAGAATAGAATAAGAGTGCAAAAGATGAGGAAGTAATGTTTCATTCCGCAGATAGTCAATTGCTCGGGTTCTCCGTCAGTTCACAACAAAAGTTGACAGATTGTTTCGAAGGTACTGACCTTTAACATTTAATATTGTGGCAACTTATCATCAACAAGTTGCCTTCACATGAAAAGTAACTCTCGTTGGTCAACGGAGGACGATTCATTTTTTTGCGCAACGCACTGCCGTACAAACATTATTGCGGTAATTTGCACCATCCAGGAAGTATCTAGGTAACTTCCCGTATTACATGCATTGTGTAACGTTTTAAAGGAAAATATGGCTGCTGCAGCTGACCCAAGGCTGGCGCTTATGGGTGGCGCTCCCACCCAGGGCAATCTCCGTGCGGTAGGTGCGAGGCTTGCGCTGCGACCGCGATGCAATGATATCACCATATGCCTGAAGCCTGAAGAACATGGCAAGTTAATCGTGTGAAGACGTCAACGCGTGTCACTTGTCACTTCCCGTTGATGTGATGTCTATCGCAGGTGCGGGCGCGCGCTCAGGACCTGCAAAAGTCAATTGATGAGGTCATCTATGGCCTGAGGTTCAACGCTGGTGTGCTCAAATGGGACGACATCATTCGAAAATACAGCGTTATCAACACGCAGGTAAATTGCCTTCGGGATAGCAATTTCTCCCTTCCCAACCACCAATACCATTACCGCCACCTCCTAGCGTCGTCATCAGCATTCCCCTTTCCGCTCCCCTGAAACACACTTCCCCGTTCCCTCCAAGGTCCTCCGTTCCTTCGTGGCTTTAATTGGACCCCAACTACGAACCCAGGCCAGAGCGCCTCTCTGCCCTCTCTTCCCACCCCCCCAAACACCGTCCCTCTTTCCACCCTCTCCTTTGTTCAAACACTGGCTTTTGGTGGCGAGGAGTTTAGCGGGTGTGTGGAAAAGGAGGATGGGGGCCGAGAGTCCGTCGGAATGGGATACCCCTCACCCAAGCATCGTTTTTCCTTTCCCTCCTGAACACCCCAATACACACCACACCCACGCCCACACACCCGTCGTCTCCTTCCTTTGGCCCGCTCCCACCACACCCCTTTCCCCCCGGGTTCCCCTCCCTCCCCCCCCCCAAACACACACACGCACGCATACACACAGCTGGCGGGCCTTCGGGAGGCCATGCGACCAGGCACCCTGGACGGCTTCGCGTTGCTGCCCCGCCAGGTCCCCGACCCGGGGTTCGCTGAGGCGGTTACCGTACAGCTGGCGAGTGCGCTAACGCCGGAGGGGGAAGTGGCGGCGGCGGAGGCAGCGGCGGCGGTAGAGGCGGCGTTGGGGCTGGGGCCGGAGATGGCCTCCATGCAGCGATTTGAGGTACGACAGCGAGCTTGTGGTGGTTCTGCATTATGATAGTCGGGGATAGTCTTCAGGTGGAGGGGGGAAGCGGGGTTAAGGGAGCGGGATGAAAGAGAGGGGCCGCGGTTGGGGTTCACAACACAGGAAAAGAGTAGCCGAAGCCATTGTTGAACGTCTGTCCGTCTGTCTCAATTCCCTTTCTGCTTGACTTTGCATACAATTTCGAACTTCACCACACCTCCCCTCCTCCCCTCCCCTCCCCTTGCCTTGCCTCCCGGTATAGATCCTGAACAGCGCAATAGAGGCGCACAACGGCCTCATCGCGGCACTCACCGGGCCATCGGGAGCGGCAGCAGCAGCTGGGGGGCCGGGGGGGGGAACGGATGGGCCCCTGAGCCCCTTGGTGGGTGCGGTCGTGTGTGTATAGGAGCCAGTGTGTTTGTGTGTGTGGGGGGAGTGTGTGGGAGAAGTTGTACTATGGGGAGGCGAGGGGAGGGGAGAACGATAGAGGGTACAGGGGGATGGTAAAAAATGGGAAAGGGCAACACGGGGAAGGGGGCTGGAAGTACGGAAGCTGACCCGCGTTCATTTTTTTCGCCCCCTCCCTGGGTGGTCTGGCATCCCCAATGGTCCTTACATCATCTACACATACACAGTCGTAGGCACGCAGACAGAGACAGACAGACAGGCACACTTGAAAGAAACCCCGACCGGTCCGAGCCCACCCGCATCCCCAAGGTCTCCACCGACACGTCCCCGCCCCCACCGCCACCCAGTGAGCTGGAGGGTCGCGGCTTGATCGAACCCTTTACCTCCTGCTCGCACCCCCTGTCCGTAATTTCCCCCCAACCCCACCCCTCTTTACACCTCCCCTACCTCCCTCTACTGCTATCATCAAGTCATTTCTGGTCAGTAACTTACACAAGTACTCCTAACGCACTATCTGTGCCTAGCCCTGTGTAGGGGTATCCTTCTATTTCCGGTATTTGTTTCGCCACTTGTCAGCGGTTCGCCCTATGGCCCCCCTCACACAATCCCGGAGTTCCCAACCCCCCCCCCCCCAACCCCCAAAGGGTCAGTTCTGCTCCTTGGCCGCAGCTTCACTCGTTCGTGTGTTCCTCTCCCCCCCCCCCCCACCACCACCACCACCACCACAGGGACCTCTGAGGAAGCGGCAACGTGAGCTCAGTGACATCACGGGGGCGGTGCTCCAGGGGAAGGTGAGGGCGGCGGCCGCGGCGGCTACGGCACTGGCGGCGGCCCGGTCGGGACCACCGGCGGCGGCGGCGGCGACGGGTGAGTGCCGAGTCCCCACCGCAAACAGGGAGCTAATCTTGGGGGTTTGGGAGTTTTAGGGGTGGTGTCACTAGGGCAAAGTAAGGATAATTGAGGACTTTAAATTTCTTTTCTTTCTTGCGAAGCACATACTGTCATACAGGTGTTGTCCGGAATTATAAGCTGCTTATCTATTTTGGTGAAGCGTTTTTTGTTTTTAGATATTTGGTGTTAGTAGTTACTGCGGGGATAACTGCGGGGAAGGGGGTTGGGACGGAGCAACACAGCCTCCAACACACCCGCACGAGTACTAAAACACGCAGACAAACAGACAGACATGCATACAGACGAGTGTCAC